GAATTCCAATAAAGTAACAATTATTGGTAATAACAATGGTAATTATTAACATTCAATCATTGATTATTTCATTTTATCGACTTTTAAAATTAACAATGATAAATGTTTGGTAGATTCTAAACAAATTGAATTGGTTATACCAGATGACTTAGCTGAATAAGTTAAATCTTGTTATTATATATTAAATAGTTTTATTTATTATAGTTGTATATTTGGAGATATGAAATTATATTTAATAGTGATATTATATAAAGGTAATAACTTCTCTCAATTATCATTTTTTTTTTCATTTTAAATTTGGATGCCAAATATGCACAATAAAATAATATGTTAACTAGGGGATGGGTTCAACACGAATGTTACACACAATTTTACCAAACTGTCCGTCCCCCCTTTAAATAAAATAAATACACTTTTTGATCCAAAAAATTTTGGTTCCCCAAGGTGAAAGAGAAGTAGTGGGTGAAGATTTTTACGTTTAAAGTTTTATTTCATTGATTTTTTCAAAAAAATGCTTTTCATTTTAATTATACATTTTTTTTACTAATACCTCTTTAAATGATGTGTTGGACTTCAAGTGTTGCAATAACAAAGGTACTATGGGCTCCAAGTCTGCCCAAGCACAAGAGTTAGTTAGGTTTTGATTGAGAGATTTGTTCCTTTTATTACGTTATTATTATTTATTGATCTACATTATATTTAAAATAGAAGGAAGGGTTAATGAGCCAGAAATAAAGATCTTTGAGTAATATAATTAGAATTGTTAGTTTATTTTATTTTATATATTCACTTAAAATAACACATAATACAGATTTCTAGGTTGAATTATGGTTATGCGAGATATTATTACTATGCTCCTATTGTATATTAATGATAAATTTTATTGTATATAGTAATAACATTGCGTCAATGTTTATTTGTTTTCTTCAAAAAATAGATCTAGAATCATTGTTATGCGACCATCAAAAAAAATCAACTGATGGTAATAAGTAATGATACTACCGCCATGAATGATAATTCTTATTGTATATAATAATAACATTATGGGATCTATGGTTAAACGAATCATTGTTACGCGTATTATTAATGATATATATAATAATAACATTGTGAGATTTATGGTTAAACGAATCATCGTTCACGTCATAAAGAGTTGATAAAATCAGGAACAGAATTGCCTGTCCTCAACACAGATCTAGCACTCACATGGGTGTAGAAGAATTGCCTGCCACACATGAGAATGAATCTGTGGAGATTGATGGCGGAATTGCCTGCCGAGTCTGCATGATTTTGCTTCTTGTTTTGGCTAGACATTGGCATTTTGAAAGATTTTTAACAAGTTTTTTTTTTAAACAATATATTTCAATAATAAATATAGTAAGTGATCATACATCATTGAACAAAAATATATATATACATCTGGATAATTAATTATAATTCCTAATGATGTGTAAGAACTAATGCAACGCGACATGGAATATAAACCTATTTATATAAATATATGTATATATTAACTCGTATATATTAACTATTTTGGATCAAATTAATATATAATAAAAATTATATTTATTTATATGTACCTTGATGAAATTTTTTCTTCCATTCCAAGGTTCGGGAGTTGAAAAATAAGGTATACTTTCATTTATTCTATCATGACCTCCAAATTTTTTATTATCCGAGTTTAATATAACGGTATATTTACCCGACCATTCTGTACCAACTTTATAATCAGAAAATGAATTTGTAGGATGGAAATTGAAAATCCATAACAAATTTCCTCGTTCGAACACTATAACCTTATCACTTTCATGCTTTGCTGAAATATATGCCTTCAAAAACAATTATTATTATTATTATTATTATTATTATTATTATTATTATTATTTAATTAATTAATTACCTGAGGTGAATCTAACCAATGATGTTTTTCTTCTAAATTTTGCATGGCTTTATCAAACTCATTCAAATATCTATATCTTAAATTTTTGTCATCAACGATATTCCATTGTCTTCTTGCATAATGATACGAATTATTATTTCCCTGGCGAGGAAAATCTAACCATTCTGGATGTCCAAATTCATTGCCTTCAAAATTAAGATATCCTTCACCTCCAAGTCCATGAGTTAATAACCTGAATTGAATTAAATGAGTAATATAATAAATATTGTTTCAAAAAATAGAAATACTATCTACCTTATCATTTTATGTAATGCAATTCCACGATCAATAATTGGTGTACGAGGAGTCAAATCAGACATATTAGTGTACATTTCTTTATCCATTAACCAGAAAGCAATTGTTTTATCACCAACAAGTGCTTGATCATGAGATTCAGCATATGCGATTGTCTTTTCCTTTTTTTAATTATTTATTTTATTTCCAAAGAAATTCAATTTATTTAAAAAAAATATATATATAAAATTATTAAAAATAAAACATAATAATATAAAATAAAAATTTACCATATGTCTTCTATTTATTAATGTCCAACAAATATCTCCAACATTCCAATCTTCATCACGTTGTTCTTTCAATAATTTAATCCACATATCAGGGATAGCCATAGCTAATCTATAATCAAATCCAGTACCACCTTCAGATATTGGACGACATAAACCAGGCATACCAGATACATCTTATGTAATGATAAATTAATTGTAAAATAAATAAATAAATTATTATGAAGATGTGGCATATTTTATATAAAATTACCTTCTGCTATTGTATTAACATTTGGGTAAAGTTGATGCAACATATCATTTGCCTATTAAAAAATCAATGTATACTTACTAATAGATATAGACTTTAAATTAAATTATAAAATATTCAGATTATAAAATTACCAGCATTAAATACGTAACAGCATCTTCATCCACACTATCACCAAAGTATTCATGATAGCCACCAGAAAATCCAGTTCCAATACCATGATGAGTGTACATCATACTAGTAACTCCATCAAATCTAAATCCATCAAACTTATACTCCTCGATAAAAAATCTAAGATTTGATAGTAAAAATCGAAGCACCTCCCAACTTCCATAATTAAACAAGCGACTATTTATAATAATAAATAGATATTTTTTAATAATCTTAGTAGCAATATATTATACATTCATTTATATATTTTATATTTATGAATATAGTATTAGTGATCATCCTAATTACCTATCCCAAAGCTCATGTCTTCCTTTCCCTCCTTCATGGAAGTAGCAATTATCTGAACCATCAAACATATTCAAGCCATCCAAAACATTTTTGCAAGCATGTGAATGAACTATGTCCAAGTATACAGTCAGACCAATTCCATGAGCAGTATCAATAAGATATTTTAATTCTTCAGGAGTTCCTGTTAATTATAATGAAAAAAACATTCATAAAAATTATAAAAATTATTAATATAATTATAATGACAATGATAAGAAATAATTTAAACACATACCATAACGACTGGAGATAGCATAAAAACTGGTAACTTGATATCCAAAAGATGCATAATATGCATGCTCCATGATAGCCATCAATTGAATAGTATTATAACCTAGATCTTTTATACGAGGTAATATATTATCTGCAAACTCTTTATAAGTCCCAATACGACCTTCAGGTGTTGATATACCAACTTATATATATGTGTGGGTGTATAAATGTATTAATGTATATTGAGTAAAGTATTAAAATAAAATAAACAGACATACCATGTGCTTCATAAATTCTTAAACCTGATGGTTTTTTAGGTGAATTATTTTTCCATACATATTTGTTGGGAGGATTCCAAAAGATAGAATCATATGCTGCACTAACAGATAAATCTTGAGTTACGCGTTTAATCCATGCTGGTAGTCGATAAATACGTTCATCATTTTGTGTAGTCATTGAAATCTTTAATATATATAAGTAGATTAATTAATGAATAATAATAATAATAATAATAATAATAATAATAATATAATAATTTCTTGATTTACCTTTATTTTAGTGTTATGTGGAATTGCTAGAGTGCCATAATTTGGAGGAATCTCAATTTCCCAAACTCCAAAGTCATTTTTTCTCATTTGATGGGCATTAACATTCCAATTATCTAACACAAAAAAAAAACTGATCAAATCAATAACAGTTGGAATAATTGGATGATTGTTGAATAATAAATGATCACATACTAAATTCACCAACTAAACTCGCAGTTTTTGCACTAGGTGCCCATTCTCTGTAGACAATAGTGTTGTTTGGAAGTACATTAAAACCAAATTTTTCATATCCACGCGTGAAATTTTCCATGCCACCCTCATGAGTATTTATATTGTCGATCCATCGTTTGTAATTTGAATATCTAATGATAATAATAATGATTTTCTAGATTTTTTATAGGAATTTTTTTGTTGAATGATTATTTATTTTTTTTACCTTCTGTATATGGCCTGTTCAAAAGGTTTTAACCATGGATCAATTGTAATTATGTTGTTTTTCGGATCAATACGATTTCCTTGAAGGGTAGTTTCTCCAGGTGCCATAATCTTGTAACTTTAGAATATGTTGTGGCAGTTGTAATGATTTTTTTTCAAAATCATTCCAATATTAATATGGGAAAATTTTAAATATGACGATGACATCATAAAAAGTACTACGCGTGCTATATGAAATCAGGCCACATATTAAAAATCATAGTAGCACAGTAACACACGGATTAGCAAAAGTCAACAACTGTTGGCGCTACGAAAGAACAATCCATTCTCAATCGAGTTTATACTGTTGTTGTAATTTCATGGTTATCTATCACATTGAAAACATAAATTTTACAGATATGTAAGCCATTATCCTTTTAAGTTTGAAATTTATATTTTATTGGCTTTGGTATATATATATCTTTCTGATTAATTTTTTATGTAATAAAAAGAGCTGGCTGTTAGAAAGCCCCAAATCCTTACCAGTTGTGTTAAAGGTTGTACATTAGCTTTTGTATATATAGCTTTAATTTCAAATATTATCGTATTAGTATTTTATTTATTTGGTTTATACATAATATTAATATTAAGATAGAAAAGTTTGCAATTTAAAATTATTATTATATCAAACAGATTAATTCAATAAAAGAGTTCTATTAATGAAAATATAAAAAGATAAAAGTAAACGAGACACCTATAATATCAAGCTTGGTAAATAAATATTAAAATATTATTATTATAAATAGATGCAGTTAAAAGGTTCGAGGATGCTTATTATTTGTGCACTGACAAATAATTGAAATAATTACGTTTGTTATGTCATCAATCGAGTTTGGACGTCTCACACTCACTCGTCAACATTATCAGTTCTAGGGAAAGATAAAAATAATGATCTTGGTGTTAAAACATGCATCCAAGCAATGTGTCAATTTTCTAGATTACGCATTAAAGATTATGGTGCATACAATGCAAGCAAAATATTGCAGAATATTGGTGCAAAACCTTGGCGTGCTCGTTTGATTCGAACATGGCCTAATCAATTTCTAAAGGATGGCACACTCCTGATTTCAAGGACCTTTATAAATTACTTGTGGAATACCTATGATCAAAAAAACGTAATGTTAATGATGTTAAAGATTTTAAAAAATACATTGAAGAAGAAATATTCCCTTCAATTAGAATCAAAGAAAAAGAAATAAGTGAAACAACTGTATGTGTATGGCTGAGAAAACTCGGATAGAATCACCAGAAAATTTGCAAGATATCTACTTGGATGAACATGAAAGACCCGATGTGATACTTTGCTTGCAAGGGAAAAATTCTTGAAAAAATAAGTTCCTTTGAAAAATTGATGCCCATCCTAGCAAAGGACGACATCATGGTTCTTAATGAACCAATACTTGCACCTGGAGGAAATAGTAATCCATGATAAATATATCTTCTATGCCAATCATGGCAAAAAAACCTATTGAGACCAATAAAACATGTCCCTTTAAGAAAAAAAGGAACGAGTTTAATCTTCACGTTAGTGATTTTTAACTGAGGCAAGAGGACGATTAAAATTCAAAGAAAAAGTAGCCTGTGGAAGATCTTGTTGAACAGGTCGAAAACAAAGCAATCACCGTTTTTAAAAAATACTTTCCGGATGCAGTTGGTGCTTTTGCATTTGACAATGTTACCAGCAATTCATGCTTTGCTAATGATGCTTTAATTACTACCTGAATGAACCTCAAACCTGATGGTGGTGATAAATACACCTTTAGAGATAGCATTTTACCTCAAAAAACGTGACTTAGCCTTTTATTATTGTTCCATCCTTTCCTTGTGCATGGATGCCTTTTCCCCACCACCAATTACAATGCTTATTCAGTACATTTGATATATCATTGACATGACAGTCAGAAGATTAATTTTGCCGATTATCTGGTGTAAAATACTAACTTTGCGATAAAAAACTCTTGCGCGGAGCTATTACAAAGTCACATTACCTATATATATATATATTTCAGGACTCATTGAAACAGTTAACACAATTCAAATTGAATGTGATTTTCTACTTTAATATATTATTAAATAATTTTTTGTTACAATTTAAAGAAAGACTTTACATGCAGGTGACAGACACCCTGGTCATTTGCCTTGAAAATCCTTCTGACGAATCTTTCAGAAACTTGCTAAAAAAATTTAAATATGATGTATTATAATTCTAATTAATTTCATTAATTTCATTAGTTATTAATGGATAATTTTATATTTAATATTTTTAACGATTTTATAATCAGATTTTGATATTTTTTTCACCGCTGAATTCATTGTCCCCTGAATTCTAGTTAATTCTTTTTATTAACCGTTTTTTTAATTAATTCTATTTTTGATTGTTTTTTCTGATTAAATGGACGGAAAAATGATGTTTTTAAACGCAGCAGGAATAAGATTCTGCCGGATTTTTATTAATTTCGCCGCAGAAATTCATCGTCACTATTATTATTATTATTGGAGCAATAATTTTTCCGTCAAAGGAGACTGATTCCCATTATAACGACACATGTTCTATATAGAAAATTTTCCAAGTTAATTGTTTACTTCTTTGGTGTATTCCAAGAATTGTTTCTTTGGAATGATTAAATGCGTGTTAACAGTAATATTAAATTATAGGTTTTTTAAAAAATTAATTCCATGATAAAACGCATTGAGGTTTGCAAAGAAATAATACGCGAGAAAGATTTTTTTTAAGTGAAAGGTTTGAACAGAAAGAGAAAAAAGTTATAGATACAAGTTGCCAGAATGTCTGTCTCTTTAAAAATATTATCAACCAGAGTAGGGTATAAATGGAAAATTTAATTATATCAAAGATGATTGACTATAACACGTTATGTTCATGCTACATTAATTTTAATATTATGCAATGAAAATTCCAAACCTATCATCTTATCATTAATATACATAATTATATTTTTTTCCTTTTTAAATTTATTGGGACATGTAAATTTCTTCTAGAAGTTTATCAAAGAAATTGATTTATTACTTTTTTTAGAAATAAATTTAGAATTCATGCATAGAACGGAAAATTTATGAGCAACGATTGCAAACAAAATTTTTTACTAGTATTAGGCATCAATGGTGTTTAATACCCGAATAATTGGTCAAATCAAAATGATATTTTTATATAGTCATTGAATAAAGGAATCTGGTTACACTGTGCCACTTGCGTTTATGTATTTATATATCTTTCGTTTTTTACATTTGTTTAAAAAACATGGACGATGTTGTTATTACGATATTTGAAAAGATTTCAAATCTTGCAGCCAAAGCTTACGAAGCTTATAAAAACGTAAAATACTTTAAAAAATTCTCCACCGAGATATATGATAGAATAGAAGCAGGGGCGCATCATTTTAAATATCTGCAAAGACATGAGAAAAAAATCAAAGAAAAATTTAGGGATAAAGATTCTATTACCAACCTTCAACGTTACGTCATTGCAGTAACTAGTCTTACAAATTTGCTTGTTGAATTTTCAGAATTACACCAATTAAAGAAATACTTGAATTCGTTAAATTATAAAGACAAAATTATTGAAAAAATAAAAAGATACGATGAAACCATCCGTGATTTAAATCTGGAGGTCAGTCTAGAGAATCTTGAATCAGTTGAAAACTTGAATCTACTAGTTGAAGAAGGATTTAATGAAGTATCCCAGGTAACAATAGAAACAACAACAATAATGATTATATATATATATTTTTTTTTTAATAAATGAATTTATTCTAATTTATCATTGGTTGTTTCAATAGACAATGAAGTCGATGAAAGATAATATGGACAATCTAGGAAATAATATGGAGTTTCTAATGGAGATGGTTGCTGGGGTTAACAAAAGTATTAAAGAATTAAGCAAAAAAACAGATCAATCTGATTTCAAGAAAAATGAATTCTCAGATAAAGTTTTCGATGGTTATAAATTAACAGATCCACCATCAGGTGAGGATTCAAGACGTGGTAAAGTTTTTAAAAAGTTATTTAATAGAGTTCAACCAGTTGCTTGTAAACCATTTGAAGCTTCAACAAATGAAAAGGAAAAGGAACTATTCAATGGATACTTGACAATCTTGAGTAATTTACAACATTCAAATAGTGTGATAGCATTTTACGGTGTATCATGTGTTGATGGTAAAGATGTTTTGGTATTTGATTGGGCTGAATTAGGAACTTTAAAAGAAGTATATGAAAAAAATCCAGAGATCACTTGGAAGCAAAAACTTAAGATTGCTCATGATATATGTCTTGGACTTCAATTTATACATGAATGTCAACTTTTCCACTGTGATGTTAGATGTGAAAATATCTTGATCATGGGACCTGATATTGCAACACCAAAAATTACAAATTTTTTTCTAAGTAGGAAGCAGATGGATATGAGCAAAAAGATTCCATCATTAAATGATATCATGCCTTGGATGGCACCTGAAAAACTGGATCTCAAAGGAAGATATACGACCAAATGTGAAATTTATAGTTTTGGTATGCTTCTATGGGAGCTTGCATTTCAACAAGTTCCATATTTGAAAAGATTTAATAGCAATTATGAAGAAATTTCTCTACATGTCAAGAGTGGTCAGCGAGAATATTTAAATTTTGATAATTCAGACGAAATTCAGAGATGCTTTAATTATATAATTTCTAAAGGTAATGATTTATTATGATTTATTATATATATATATATATATATATATATATATATTATACAAAACATTGATAATTAAAAAAAAAAAAATATTCACTAAATGATTGATCAAAAACATTTTTAATAGCTTGGCATAAAAAACTTGAGTCCCGTCCAAATATGCCAGATATTCTTAGAATATTGGAAAAGTTATACAAAAAACATTATTTTACAAGAAGCAGGTCATACTGTGAGAATACAATTGATGGCAGTCTTGATGATTATGATTATGGTTTTGATGTTACTAATGAATTCATCAAGAGTGATACTTGTGAACTTGATTTCAAAGAGATTGGAACATCAACAGTGGAGGATGCCATAAAACTTCACAAAGAACGCGCTGATGAATCAAGAAGGCAAGCATGGAAATACTTTGAATATCATTCAGATACTCTAAATAACTTTACAGCAAAATATTGGAAAGGGTATTATTTGTTGGAAGGACTTGGTGGAGTTAAAAAGGATCCAAAGATGGCAATGGAATTATTTAAAGAGGCAGCAGATAACGATGTTGCTAGTGCACAATTTCACTATGCATTTCTCATATCACAAAACGCTGATAATGACCTATCTTTAGTTGAAGAATGTATTACATATTTAGAAAAGGCCGCTGATAATGGAAATTTACCTGCATTGTTTAATCTAGGTAATATTTACTATAATGGTAAATGGAATATACAACAAGATATAGAAAAAGGTGTAAAATATTATAAAATGTCAGCCGTGAAAGATCATGATCCAGCAATTAAAAAACTTAAAGAATTAAAAATAAAAATATATGACTGAATATTTTGTTACTTATTATTTATTTATTATCTGTTTTATTTATATTATTTGTATAATTATTAAATAAATGATTATTAAAATTAAAGGTTACACGGTTAACAAATTCTGAATATTTCACTTTGTGCGGTAATTGTCATTTTCAATAATAATATAAATAATATCCTTCAAAACCATAATGATGATTTACCGAATTGAGAAATGGAAAATCAGCCCATATTAATATGGTTTGTAAAAAGGTTTGCTTCAAATGCTACTTTAGAATAGATTTTGGGGGTAGGGTGTTTTGGGATACAAATTTCTGATTGGCTAATTTGAATTTCACGCAGATTTCAATAATTCTAATAATCTTGATAACGGTCGTAAGCTTGAAAGAGGGAATACTATATATTTTCAAAGTAAAAATAAAATATTCACTAGTTTTCGATAATTATAAAAGTAGCCTTGAGAAAAGAAAAGATGTTTTTTTAATGTATACTTTAAAATTATTATCTAGCATAAGTTTTTTAGTATAAAAATTGACCTCCAGAGAGAGAATTGATTGAAAATTTTGCTAATTGAACGTTAACCAAAAATTATGTTGTTACTTTACTTATATTCTTGATTTATTAATTTACAAATTATATTAAAATATATCAAACTATACATCACTCTTCATTAACAATTTACATCCAGATGATAACCTTTTATTTCATAAATTATATCAATACAAACTAAAAACCAAGTCACTTACATTCCAAACATATCCACCGAAAGGAAAGCATCAATTGTAAAACTGGTTTGTCCATATGTCGATAAATTATATATGCCAATAAATTATATATGCCAATAAATTATATATGCCAATAAATTATATATGTCAATAAATTATATATGCCAAAAACTGTTAAACAAAATTCCTTATCAATCGGAGCAATTAAAGCTGAGTCTCGAGCTGAAGTAAAAATTATTTGAAGAAGCAAAGTGACCTCTCCTCGGTAAGTTTGTAGTCATATATATAGCCTTTCCCAATCTCCCACAATTGCTAAAGTGTAAAACTGGAGTACTCTAACCCTGAATGCAACTCTAAACTCTCTCTATACAACCACATACCTCGCTTACCTGATGCAGTAACATTTCCCAGTCCTTTCTGTATACTCAAATTATGCTACGATGACATTCATTTCATATAATTAAAAAAATTTAATCAGAAGTTTTTTATAACCTTCCATAAAATTACGTAAAAAATTTCTAGATGTAATAAACCCAAGTTTTGAGGGTTGTAATGCTTAACCATGCTAACATGACGAGTATGAGAATCCTTAGAACTGAATGACTCCAATTCTGTTAACTTTGAAAGTTTTTCTTTGAAGAACATATACTTCATTTATCTCAAAGTGGAACTGAACAATATTTTCATTAAATCTCCGAACGGCTTGGGTTAATCCGAAATTTTTCGGCTTTTAAAAAGCCAATCCAAAACATAAAAATAATGCTGCTACTTTAATAATTATATATAATACATTTTTAAAATAACAACTTTTACTTAGTATGTGGGTTATCGCACTGATTTCTGGCTTTGAAGTTTACTTATGATGTGTAGATATGCGCAGAAAATCAAATCACGTCTGAGTTGCAGTTATTATCCGAGTTAATTTTGACTTTATTTGATCCACGCAGTTTTTTTTTGTTAAATAAATATGAAGTTTGTAAAGTGCTAAACGATTGAATTATTAAACCAAATACACTACTACTAGTAGCACTAATTTTCTTTATTCTTATACGAGATTAAAGTGTATAAATTTTGACGTCTTAAATTAGTAGGCAATAATTGGTTTTGCAACAACTTTCTTGTTTTCAACGCGTAAAATAGATATATTAATATCCATGCCAACATAATTTATTTCCAATAAAAATTTAAAAAGTCGGTTCAACATCCAAAATTGTTGTGATCAAAGCACAAAACATTGTGGAAAGTACAATATCATAATTAAAGTACAGGGTTAATGATTAAAGTGCCAGATCGTGATAAAAGCGCCACTAATTAATTTAATCGTATATATAAGGAGCTTGAATTCTATGTACCTGAAAAATAACTTTGTAATAAGTTTAATAATAATTATAAATTAGTTTGACTAAATAAAATAAAAAAAACATTTCAAATCGCTAAACAAAATTATTCGTTAATAAACTATTTGTTGGTAATAGCCAATTCAATCTGATTCACATAATTAAATTTTGTTATCATCAATTCCCAAACATAATAACAAAGCAAATATAATAGCAACTAACTCGTCAAATTATAAGTTTACGTTTGAAATTGTCCTAATAATAATTTTTGATGTCGAAAAATTTTCAGAAAGATTTGTCTGCCGATTATTATTATGTATTAGTATAATAATTACTAATACTAATCACTATTGACCAATTTGCAATACACAGTGAGTCTTGATTTAGCAGACCTCGATTTAAAGCAATTTTTCCATAAAGTCTCGAAAGATAGCACCCCTTTTTTACAACTGTAACAAATGATTTTCAATTGTTTTAAAGTAGGAAATTGAAAAACAATTATTTATATTATTATTATTATAATTAATATTAAAAAATACAAATTTTAAAAATAATCTTCAAATGATCTGTTTAATTAATTGGTCTATTTAGTAATGACGGTCTGTCTAAACTAATTGGTCTATCATTTAGTGGTGGTGATATGTATAAATTGTTTGCTAATGACAGTCTGTTTGAGATAATTGAGCTAGTTGAGCTGGTGCGTGAATCACTTATCAACTCGGAGACAGATGAAAAATGACTATTCAAATCCTCCTCATTCTTAACTTCATTGAACTGGCATTTTAAAGCCAGCGGTCCAAGATCGGATGGAAGATATTTATGTGCGATATTAGCCATTTTTACTAATACTGAGCTGGAAGAATTGCTGCTAAACAAAACTGTGTTGAGATATAATGGTGACCTATTAAAATGAGCAGAAAAAATAATTGTTATTATTATGTTAACTTACAGATGAACAATATGAGTTGAATTTCATACCCTCTTTGTTTATTATATTTACAGATACTTTCTAATTCGGCATCTGGTGATCCACATTCACCATCGGACAAAAATATAATGACGTTCGCCCTATAATATTTAAAATTATGGCCAGTTAAATAAGTTGTATAATAATAATACAAATGATTTTGAATCTATTGAAAAGACATTGATTTGATTTTACTTTTTTGGATTATAATGTTTGTCAATCAAAGATCCTGCTTCCCGTATTGCCAAATCAAATCTAGTTCCGCCATTTGCTTCATACTGAATCATAGTGTCTAAAACATTGTTTGCATCATTGAGTGATTGATTTTCAATTGGTACAACAGTTTCGTGGTTGAATAAGATTAAAGAGATGGTGTCATTGTCAACAGCATCCTGGTTTTGTTTTTCTTTATGCTCTTCCATGAATAAGTAGACCTTTATTTATGATCAGTTATAAAAAGATAAAGTTACAAAAAATATTGCTAAAAATGGATAAACAACATTAGATAATTACCGCAGAGTATACTGCGCCTATCCTATTATTGTGACTTTGTGCGATTTTTTGACTGATGTTTGAATGAATGTTTTCTAATGGTTTTCTATCAGTGCCATTCATTGAACCTGATCTATCAAGCACAAATATAATGTGAAATGCATCACAACAAAACCGATCACTGTCTAGCACAATGTCACTAACATTACATGTAGCTGCTGATAAATTTCCTGTTAAATCTGGATCTTTAAAGCCAGTTCCTTTATGAAATGATTCATGAGTTACAAGATCCTTTTTCATCTGAAGTCTTTCCATCCCACTAGTAATTTCAAAAGTGGGTAGTTTTGAATCAGTCTTGGAAACTTTTGCAGTTAATAGATCATCCATGTTTGTTATTGTGTCAATCGAATTTGGAACAATATAAATAGTTTGAGATGGATCATTGATATCAACATCATCTAAAAGGTCTATAACTTGTGACATCTCCGGACGTTCGATAGGATCAGCTTGCCAACATGCTAATAAATGTATGAATTACAAATGAACAGATAATTCAATCGATTTAATAATAAAAAGGAAAAAACCCATTGATTATATACCTGTATAGATGTCAACATAAGATTTGGGTGTTCCTGGGACTATGCTTTCTCTGCTACCATTAATAATTTTACTAGCAAGAGTGAACGTTGCACCAGAGCTTTGGTATGGTAGTCTTCCACTGGATATTTCCCATATGAGCATACCCACACTATAAACATCTGACGCTTCTGTTCGTATGTAGTTTTCAGGATCATGTAAAAATCCAGGATCGGAATATCTCATAGAACCATATGTTTTGGAAAATGATGTTACAGTATCAACGATCATTGATTTTGATAATCCAAAATCACCAAGTCTGATATTATCCGAATGAATGAAAATATTTTCTGAATGCTTTTCATTGTCATAATTATTAATATAAGAACATAAAATAATTAATGTATTTGTATTTTTGCAGGGAAAAATTTTTTAATTAAAAAACTTACCAGATCTCTATGAATTATATTATTTGAATGAAGACAAAATACTGCACTTGAGATTTGTTTTGCAAACTTTAACTTCAATCTCCAATCCATTTTGTTAAAATTTTTAGATAAATATTGACGTAAAGTTCCACTATCAGCATACTCCATAACTAACATGTGTTCATCTAAAAAATAAAATTTAAATCAAAAATACACATCTATATTAATTTTAAATCAAAATAAAAATATCATGATGCTTTATGTTAGCTAACTTTGGGTTAATTGGCAATTAATTTCAAATCAGTTGCAGGCACAAACTTTGATTGTGTGTGGAAATTTCAATATTTAAATAAAAAACATGGTCACAAGACTTCAATTCAGCAAAGAAAAAATGTATAAATACCATTTTCTTTTGTTACACCATAAAAGCCTATAATATTATCATGCATTTCAACTTGCCGATGTTGTTGAAGCTAACAAGTAAAAGAAATAAAATATTTTTAATTTCTAAGATATATAACTTGAAATCAATTAATTTTAAAATTAGATAACTCTACCTCATTTATAATTTGCCCAAATATTTTCTTAGAAGTAACATTATCTCTGATTTGAATTGATTTTAAAACCATATATTTTGCATATTGACTATTGTATGCACGATAGACAATTCCAAAGGAACCACTACCAATTTTCTCAATGTCACTAAACAATTTGTACTTATGAAGCTTCATATGATTTTTAGATATCGCCTCATCAATCCATTCAGAAAATTCATTCTTTTCTTTTTCCTTCTATCAAAATATTAAATTGGATAAATTATATAAAAGGGACATTAGAACAATGTTTATAATTTCCAATAATCATATATTGAGATAGAATAAGATCTACAGATATGATGGGGTTTACCTTTGGATGTTGTTTGGGCATTGGAAGAGGTAGTTGTTGTAGTTGTTGTGAATGAGATCTATTCGTAACTTTTGCAATATCACTATTATTGTTTTTCAAGGCTTCATTGAAAAAAAAAATTATATATTTCTTTATTATTAATAAGAAATGATAATTATAATATAGAGTTAATGAATCAAATTAAATCACCTGTTAAAAGATTCTGAAAAACAAGTTCTACATTGCTAGTATCCAAAGCAGATGTTTCAATGAATAATAAATTGTTTTCATCTATTTATAATGACAATGATAAAAACGAATTTATTTTATGTATTACTGTTGTTATTATTATAACAGATATCATCATAACCATTAATTATTTAAGATGCACAAACCAGCAAATTGCTTAGCTTCTTGAGTTGAAACAGCTCTAAGGTTTTTTAAATCGGTTTTATTTCCAACAAGCATGATTACAATATCGCTGTCAGCATAATCTCTTATTTCTCCTAGCCAACGATTAACACTTTCATATGTCACATGTTTAGTAATATCATAAACGAGTAAAGCGCCTACTGCACCATAATAGCTACAATTATCGAGTTGAGAATGGAAAATAAAAATTATAATTTAATTTGAACATAACTACAATAATGATAATTCCTACATACAAATTTATAGCTGTAGTTGTTCCATGATGTGGACCTAATTGATTAATTAGTTGATTGATTGATTAATTACTTAATAATATTGACACAATCTTGAATAATAAATAGGAACCTTTATCCCAAATCTGTGCTTCAATTGTTTCATTGCCCACTTGGATGTTCCTAATGGCTGATTCGACACCGATGTTAGACTTTGAATTCAAATTAAATTTGTTATGTGTAAATCGAGAAAAGATATTGGATTTGCCAACACCAGAGTCACCAGTTAAAACAACTAATTAAACACGTTTATTAAAAATTAATTGATTATTGATAACTTCTACTTTGATCAAGTTTTTGCTTATACAAGTTTTCTTGTGCCATTATAAATAAAAAAAAACAGATATCGTCGTTTCTAAATGCACTCCTAATTTACAAACCTTTAAAAAGATGTTCATCGTCGAGTTTGCTCATCTTTGGAGCAATTGTTAAGAAATTGAAAAGGCCATTGGTATTACTGTAATATAAATATATATACAAATATTTACACACATAATAAATGAAAATAACAAATATACAGTAATAAAATTTGAGTGACGATATGTTACAGTCGAGGTTTTTCAAATACTGTAATGATCGACGATCTGAAAGAACTGTAACGATAATATTTATTATAACTTGTCGAATGAGCAGCAGCGATGATAATAAATATCCATTATCTTTCACTGTATTTGATTTATCTGAAGAACTGAAGTTATAAAAAAATCATAATATTTTATTTACAGTTTAGGATGGACGGATTGAAAGTTGTGTGGAAGTAACTTACTAATTTTAAGAAAGTATCAAAAAACACAATAACAAAGAAATAAACAACGACTATAGTTTTAATTAGAGGTTTGGCACCACGCAAAAATTCTTTGACCGGCTAATTAACCGTTAAAATTAAATAGTTAACCAGTTAATTTAGTCACGTGGAATTTTTTAACTGGTAAATTCGATCGTTTATTACTTACAAAATAATCACACGCCTGTTGAATTTTATTATTATACACTTAATAGATGCTAAATGATTACGGTCAAACCTCGCCACAGTGGATTCATGGTTCCAGCCAAAAAAAAATTCGTTATTATTATTATTATTATTATTATGACAAGAAGTCCGCAACGGCAAAATTGGTGATGATCGGGCAAAATTTTTTTAATAATACAAAGCTCTCTCTCTATACCGAACCCTCTGTCCATTATATGCATTTTCCTGCTTTGGTTCATTATAGGGAGAAATTAATTATAAAAAATTGAATCGGAGACGGGCGACAAAAGGGAAATTCGTTATATATAGAGAGGCTTGGTATAGTGCAATAAATTAATAAACTAAATACAGAATAAATAAAATGAATAATACATACGGAAATGAAAATTATTTATTGAAATAAGATGTAATATTTGGTTGTATTATCTAATAACTTCTCTTTTTTCAATGGTTTAAATGCTTTAAATTCTTTACAATCTGTTTCTAAATCACCTTGTTGAAGAAAATTAAAAGCTATCTCAAAGGAAATTACGGCATCTTTCGTTGAAACTTTAGACATAGTGTTACTCTCAACAAATATTATATTATTAACATCATTTTGAAATCTCTTCGACTATATTTCTTGAATTTTCAATTTCATTATTAGATGTTTCATTTTCCAAAGGGAGAATTGCGGTTTTCCTCTATCAATTTTGGTAATTTGGACATTTATATGTCACGTGAATCTGCAGTGGAACAAATTTATTGATATCCATCATCTTTAAATGATTTTCTTTTAGAACATTATTAACAATATAACAATTTAGTATTGCAATAGCGAGATTTTGAATCAAACTTTGTATTTCATTTTTAGTTGGATAATGGTTCATAATGTAATACAGCTAATTCATAGTATACTAGACCGTTTGGTTTCTGCTTGCCAAACTATTGACGATATCAGATAATAATTGTGTGTCTCTATTTTATAGTCGGTGCTGTTTGAGGTATTATTTGATCTAATCATATTTATTATTTGTTCCTTCATTTTGTTAGTGTTTCTTGAGCGTTTCTCATTATTAATAATTTCTTCTAATTGCGCTACCGTTGCCTCCAAACCTTCTATTTTCTTGTCTGTCTTAGTCTTTACTGATTCTTCGTTCTGTAACCATATCCGCTCCTAATAAATTATTCAGACCCTGATTCACCCAACTATCATCTATTCTTTCATACGACATGCATATCTTCTAAAAACAACAACAATTTTGTCATCATCGATTCGATTATTGTTGCTTGTAATATATATTTGAAATCACCATTTCCCTTAATAAATAATTCCGACAACATTAATTTTGTACTTTTGTTTTTTTATATTCTTCCCACATAAACTTAGAATCCAACAATGCGTTTATTGATACTGTATTTATATTAATAATATATCTTTTGCTCAAATTTGTTTTTGCCTGCGTGATTAACTTGGATTCGGATGAGGATTTTGGGGATGGACAACAACAACAACGATAATAGTAATAAACTTGATACCAAATTTCGTCTAATTACGCAGATGGAAAAATAAAATTCTAATAAAAAGTAAAACCTATTAGAAAAAGTTTAATGTAACAACAGTACATGAATCTCGAGTATTAAAGGCAAGAATCTGGTTATCTTAATAGTGATTATTTATTAACGTAGTACATGCGACAAAAATCAAATTTATAAATATAAAAGGGTCTTTAAAAAAATTACTCACTAACCGTTATGGGTAACTATAAATGTTTTGAAAAATAAAGCCATGTCGATCCATCAATTAACAATGTATTCATTCATTTGTATCATGGCGTCGGGGGATGGACAAAAAAATTTTCTTTTATTCTATTTTGGGTTTTCAGCTCTTTGCCTAAAAAAGTCAATTTTTTATTTTAATTGAAAGAAAAAACAATTTGAGGGTTTTCAACAATTGAAAGTTACACGAAAAGTTCAGCTTTAGAATTCATACAATTAAACTTGAAAATACTAGTTAGTAATGAGGAGGAATAAAATTTTTTTTGAATGACGTAATTTTCTATTTATAAAGTAAATCATTATGAGGTAAATTGGAAAATGAAAACTTACCACGGGTACACATTAAAACCCATTCTTTATTTTGATGGGTAGAAATATGACTATCTTTATATTAAAAAGGGAGTTTTAGTGTACCCCTGGATGGCGTGGTAAGGGTCACCTCAGAAAGTAGCCAGTTTCCCAAAAATTCCGAAATTTTATAATCGTATTAATAGTAATTAATCAGTATTAGTCTTTTTTTCTGCAAATTTGATAGTGTATAGGGCGCAGTCAAATTTAATACGCTAATGCATGTTTGTTTATGTTTCATCAAATATATATTTTTTCAATTTTCTCTCATCTCCCAAAAAAAAATTTATTATATATAAAATAAAAATTTAAATGCATAGACCTTTTTTAAAAAGTTATAATTCTAATTATAGTTCTAGTTCGTCGTCCATAAATTCAACTCGGTCTACCACTTCTTCCGCTTCTTCCATCACTTCTGCTTCTTCAACTGCCTCTTCGAAAAGCTCAAGGAGAGAAAAAATCAACCGATTTGGTTATTGTAAAAGTTGCAATCAACCAAATACACATTGCGATTGGTGCCAACCTTGTAATTCGTCAAGATTTAAGAAGGATTTTGATAAATGGTCAAGTGGTAACGCAGCAATTGATGATTTTATCAAAAATGCTCAATCAAATGCCTCAAATCATCATCAAGTATTAGAATGGATACCATACGATCAATTCGAGGGATTTAGATTCGTTGCTAGAGGCGGGTTTGCTTCGGTTTATTCGGCAATTTGGAAACAAGGATTTATTATAAAATGGGCTGACGAAAAAAATCAATGGGAGAGGTGTGGAGATAAAGGAAGAAAATGGAAAGTAGCATTAAAAATTTTGGATAATTCATCTGATCTCTCTTTTGATTTTTTTCAAGAGGTAATGAATTATTATTATTAGTGTGTTAACACGATAAAAAAAATAAAAAAAAAAAAAATTTTATGTTTTTTATTTTTAGATTAAAGCATGTGTAGAATGTGGAGGTGGATTTGGTTTGATTAGATGTTATGGAATTTCACAAGATCCAAAATCTAAAAATTATATAATAGTATTATATTTTGCACATCGTGGCAGTTTAAGAAATTATTTGGATAAACATTATAATGAGTTGAATTGGGTGAAGAAAATCGGAATTTTGAAACAGGTAGCAGAAGGTCTAAATAAAATACATAATGCAGGATATGTTCACAGAGACTTTCATAGTGGCAACATATTACAAAGTAACTGTACAGAAATAGCCGATCTAGGGTTTTCCGGTCCGGCAAATAAACTTTCGTCATCACAGAAAAAAGAAGTTTATGGTGTGCTGCCTTATGTGGCACCTGAAGTATTAACTGGCAAAGGTTATACATTCAAGTCGGACATATATAGTTTTGCTATAATAATGTGGGATGTGCTTATGTGTCAGTTGCCATTTGATGACAGAGCTCACGATGCTGTTTTAGCAGTGGATATAATTAAAGGATTAAGACCGAGTATACCTGATGATACGCCCGATGCTTTTGTCAATTTAATCGAGAAATGTTGGAATCCAGATCCTAAACAAAGACCAAGTTCACATGAAATATACCAGGAATTACAAAAATGGTATTGGGATATAAAGGATGGTGTTGAGAACGAAGTTTCTCTTCAGTTCAAGTCTGCCGATGAAAGAAATGTTCAAAGATCAATATCGTCATCTACTTATAGACCTATTACAGAATCACATCCTTTAGCCATTTACACAAGTCGATTGCTAAGTTTTCCTAATTTATCTAGACCAGTAAGACTTCCATCCAGCAGAAGTAATTCAAATAAAGGTAATTACTAAAAAAAAAATTTTTTTGAATTTCAAGGAAAATATTTATATTAAAGCAGAATCTTTTCTTTTTATAATAATATAATTTATAGCTTATAAAACTGAAAAAATAGGTAAAAAAAAAATGAAAAGAAAAATTATATATATTATTCGTTCCTTTTACTTTATTGATTAAACTTTTTTTTTTGAATTATTTTTAATAGATTATGTTACACGTGCGTTTGAAGAAGAGCTTGTATATGGTAATTATTGTAATAAAACCTCTTTTGTGAGGAGAAAATAAATATATGTTACAAACCATTTCTAACAACACCTCTTTCTTATTTTTTCAAGAACCTGAAAGTAATTTAAGTACAAGACGAATAGATCTAGAAGAGATATCAGAAGAGATATTATCTGAAGGTATTAATTAATTGGTTAATAATAGAAATTAACTAATAAATAATAAATAATAAATGATAATATTTTTTTTCTTAGTGACTTTTGAACCAGAAATAATTGAAGAAGAGTATGTTACAAGACAATATGATATTGACCTTGTTTGAGAAGGTAATTGTAATAATTATAATGAATATTATTCAATAAATTGATAATTAATAAAAATTTTGTTTTTTAGAATAAAGAAAATTTTCCAATAATCCTTCCACTGCTTGATATTCATGATAATAGCAACGACAATAACAATAATTGTTGTTTTCCATAATTTAAAATTTTATTTATTATTTTGTTTTATTATTATAATTAATCTTTAATTTGTGTATTATTATTTGTGTATTATTATTATCGCTACTATATTGTTTATAGAGAAGAAAAAACTTTTTTATTATAATTTTTCTTCAACCATATTTAAATCATATTTTAAAATAGAAATACAAGTAATATAATTACCATTATTTACCATCACTCATTCATTGTTCATTATTATTATTATTATTATTATGGATCTTCATATCCGATGGGTGGATTTCTTGGTCCTTTAGGAACTAAAAAAAATTAAAAAAATTAAAAATTAAAATCCACCATTGATTGATTTATTGATCAATTTGTTGATTTGTTGATTGATAATGTTTTTACTGATCAATTCTTCTTGGATTTTCAACTTACTTGGATAAGTTGTTGGAAAAGGTAAAGGAGGTTCATAACCAAAATATTTTCTACGTATATCTGGGATTACTAGCACACCGATTGGACCTATAAAACCGATAGCAAGACTCCAAAAATATGCTGGTCTTTCTTCAGCTGATTTTTTCTAATCACAATAATAATAATGTATTTTTGGAATTTTGAATTTTGCTTTTTATTATTCTCATTTAATAATGTTAATGTTAATGTTGAATTGAATTGTACTATTTACCAAAAAATTTATTTGTCTTGAGAAAAAAGATGCCATTAATTTATTTTTAATTACAAAAGAAAAAATTTCACACCTTTTATTCTTGCGTCGTGTTACGTGTAACATACACGCATGATTCAAATTCCAAATTTTAATTTTTAAAAAAAAAAAATGTCAACTTTTAAATTTCCTTCGATACATAATTTTCCACCTTTTTACACGTAAGTTGAAGGTTGGTGTTTTGTTATAAATATAAACATAAATATATAAATGCACATTTACGTTTTAGGAGCTTGTCAAAGAAGAAAAATTGATTAATTTAAACTTCTCTTTCATTCCTTTTAAACACATGTATAGTTTACAACCAACTCAAACAACATGGCAACATCAAGTATCACTTTGGTCTGAAATAATTTTAGCATATTGTAAACATCATAAATTATATCGTCTTGAATTATATGAATCTTTGAATAATGAATTATTTAATAATCAAAGTATTAAACGTAAGCAATGAAAAAATTAAATTCTCTTTGGAGAAAGAAACTAAACTGTTGATTATATTAATTAATCCCTTCTTTTTGCTGTTGTTGTTGTTGTTATTGTTAATAGGCAGATTGAAAATTGAAACTTTACAAGCAATCATTGATACAATGGTTAAACAAGGTTAATACTATAACAATAATAATAATAATATACTTCATGTTATTATAGTAATAATGAGAAATGGTTTGATTGGTAATTAAAACAGGTGATGCAGAATGGGATCAATCATCTAAAAAAACAGTTGCGCTAATTTATTGGAGAAAACCTGAAGAATGGGCAACATTAATTAATAATTGGGTTGGTGAACACTGTTATGTCCATTTATAAAAATATAAATTCTTTCATAATTCATATATATATATATATATATATATATATGCAAATCAATGATTTTCTTTAGGTTTTCGAAACTGGAATGACGAATTCTATACTAACGATATATGAGATTGCACATGGGGACACTACTGAAGGATTAGGTAAAAATGAAATAGCTAAATAACCTAAATATCATTCATCATCATCATCATCATCGTAACATAGATATTTATATATTAAAGAATTCCATGAATTAGATCAATCAATACTATTGAAAGCATTAGAATTATTGGTAAAAAAAGGTTCGGCTCAAATATTTCAAGGGACAAATGCTGAAGATATGGGTGTTAAATTTTTTGGAACTGGTGGATAATCAATCATCCGTATATATATATATATATATATATATATATATATATATACATATACATATACATATAATAGAATAGGATGAAGAAGACGAAGAAAAAGATAAGGATAATCAACAGTACGGAACTTTTTTTTTATAATTGTGATTTATATTACTGTTATTATCAATTATCAAATTAATTATTAATTATGTAATGAGTTTTTTTGATTATCATTTACACAAATTTCTTAAATTTATTATTATTCTCAATCTATATAATTTTTTATACCTTTATACATATATTTATAATTTAAAAATTTTTTTTAGAAAATATTTACAAAAAAAAAAAGATTATAAAATTTTTTTTAAAAAATAAAAAAAAAAGATTTATATATATATATAACTTGCTATTTATAATACTGCTATCATTGTTACCACCATTATTGCCATTACTATTAATTATTAATACTACTATAACTGCCATTACTATTAATTATTAATACTACTATTATTGTAATTGTTAAACATAATTAATATTAATTTAATTTAATTGTTTTTAATTATTATAGTTTTTAAAATGAAAAAAAGTGATATGAAAAAAATAATGATTTGATGATCCTAATTTCTGAACCTTTTTTTTTTTTAAAAAAAAAGAAAAGGTAAGAAAGAATTAATGATAAATAATATCTATATTAAAAAAAAATTGCTTAATTATACTATATAATATACATATACATATGTACGTATATGTATATATGTTTGTGTGTGTCTTTGTGTGTGTGTATATATAAATAAATTAAAAAAAAAAAAGGGAAAATTAAAATGTACATGTTTGTGAGAAAAATTTAAAGTTTTATACATGAAAAAAAAAAAAAAGATGAAGGAAGAAAAAGATATTTATGATGTGTGTGTGATGTATAATTTAATTAATTAATTTTTTAAAAATAAAAAAATAAAAAAAATAATCATAAAAATATATATGAGGATGGTGATTATAAAATAAAAAGGGATAAAAAAAAAATCATGCCATATATCAATACTATACAAAATCTATATATAATAATAAAAAGGAAAAAAAAACTTGTATGATAATTTTCCTTAATTTAAATTTTGAAATCGCGCCCTAATTTTTTTTTGGTTTTAATCTTGTTATTGTTTTTATGTTGGTGATTTTTTAAAAAAATTGTTATTATTATTATTATTGTAATTATGTGGTCTCTAATTCTAATTTTTCTCGATGTGTTATGAAATCTAAAATTTAAAAAAATATATTGTTATTATTATTATTTGTGTTCTCTAATTTTAAATTGTGCTCTATCCGTTAATGAAATCTAAAAATTAAAGTTAATATTAATATTAATATTATTGTTATTGTTATTATTATCGTTAATCATTAATAATAACAGGACTTAGTTTGGACTACTTACAGCGGGATAAACCTTTGATGGAATATTGGTAAAAGCAATACCAAAATAATCGCCGTCAATAGAAAAGGCCAAAGTTCTTTTGTTCATGTCCAGATGAACAGTGATTTTTGATAGATCATCAAAAGGTTCTCCATAATAATAACTTTCCCCGTCATGATAAATGGTACCATCCGATCCAAAAACCCAACCGTGTTTCTGATTACCAAGGAATTGTAAATGATCAATATCTGTGCCGCAAACACCAATGTAAACTGTCTGTTCAAATGACTCTTCCACAATTATATCCCATTTGTGGTAACCATTTTTAAAACCTTGAGTTGTTTTAAATACTAAATGTGATTGATTTTTAGAAATAATCAAGGTGTCATTATCACCGGTATGACGTATAAATGGTTCGTATTGCTTATTTCTATCCCATCTTAATGGTGGAGCAAGACCTCTAGTTGTGTTTTTGGGCATTTTTCTTGTTGAGTGATAGCGATATGCCTGATATAAAATATTTGATGGGATTATATCTAATGGTTCAATCACATTTACCAAAACGTCCGGATCAAATAATCTAAAATCAATGAATGGTAGAGTAGATGATATAATATCAATAATAGCAGTTCTCAATGATTCTTTAATTTGATGTTTATTTGATTCTTTAATAGCAAGATCGTCATCCTCGTTGTCATTATCATCAACGTCACTGCCATTACCTTGGTAATAATTCTGATGATCACGATGACGACGGCGACTATGTTTTTTTTCTTTCCCTGTATTAGAATCATATACGAAACAACCATTATAATTATCATAATCATAATAGCAATCATCATCGTAATCATCATCCTCTTCTTCTTCATCCTCATCATCATCCTCATCATCATCATCTTCATCATCCTCTTCATATTCATTTTTTCCTCCACTAATATTAAAACTTCCACCAGCCAAAATTGATTCGGCAGAAGGTAATAAAAACTGGAAAAGAGTCACGGCATTACGTGATACTTGATTTGCGCCCCATAAAACCAAGTATCGGAATACTCCATACTCTGAAGTAGCAAAGTATTCATCCTTCATTTCTAATGAATGAGACAACAAAACTTGTAACGATTGGCCGGAAAACATGTTGTAACTAACGTAGTCCAATGGTGTTGAAGCAACTAGATGAAATAATCTTTTGAACAATTCATTGTGTGTTAATGGACCCATAATCTCGACAAATTTTGTATAAAGTCTTGTAATTGAGTCGTGTTTACTTTCGTCGTGACAGTTCTCTATATAAATCATCACATAATCTTGTAAATCTGGTAACATGAAATAATCAGATGCATGGAATACTTCAATTGCGTTTTTTCCAGTCAAGGTTTTTTCTCCTATGCTACCGGTATATAAGAACTCTAGAACTACTTGCATTGCTTTAGAGTTGATTTTTGGTAAATAAATTTCATTTTGTGTAGATTCTTTCATTCCGTTGTATAACATTCTATCGAGTACTTCTGAACGAGCTGCCAATATTACTCTAGACGCGTGAAGAACTATACCATCTTCACAGTTTATTTCGATATCACTATAACGAGGGTTATTGATCAAACATTTAAGGTCTTGAGCTAGTGAACTCCCTCTCTGCATATTGATATATAAAAATATAACGACAATGATAGGATATAGACTATTTATTAAAAGTTTTTTTTTTTGGATCTCAAAAAATTTGGTAGAGAACTATTTATGAATAAATTTTTTTTAAAAAAATAGAATGAAACAAGAATATATCAAGTTAATTTTGGTTAACCATTACAGTTCAAAAAATGTTAATTTGGAAAAGACATTCGTTCTTTCAATGAATTGTACGCCATAGGAAAATAAAATAATATTTATATATACACACTCATTATAACATCATCTACATGACAAATATACAAATATATATAAATAAACATCCACAAATTCTTAATTTTTCTTGTTCATAAAAAAAAAAGACAATGAACTATGCAATTATTCTTTTTTTTTCTTTTAATTAAATTAATTCTTGGAACATCTAACAATTATAATCATAAGATTTTTAGATTTTTTGGTTAATTTTCAAAAGTAAATATATATTTATAAAGTTTGTTTATTATAATGAATGAACATAATTTTTAATTTCCTCTCTCTTAATGATAATCGATAACATTGTAAAAAAAAATTTTTTTAATAATACAATACTTCATTATTCTTCTATCCAAAATCTTATTTATTATTATTATGGCGTAAACAAAAAGAATTAATTAATAATGATGATGATACTGGTTAATTTATTTAGTAAAGATTATCTCCAAAAAAAGAAAAGAACATTTAGAAAAGCCTTCATCAATCATAATCTTTAGGTGATTTAAAGACCTAATAGCTATAAAAAATTAATTAGTCAATAGATTTGATGATAGTTTATTTCTTACATTCATAACATGCTTACCACCGGTCACCACATCCAAGTAGGCTGACTATAAGCAATAATCGTTCACGACAGATTGCCAAAGTTCCATTGCTTTCTATATCAAGAATCAAAGGACTAGCTAGACCTAATATGATGAATTCTGAGAGATCTTCTGGTGAACATTTTGACAATGCGAGATATTTGGCATTTCCATTGGAGGTTTTACTAAATAAAATTTTTAAAAAGGAAGACTTGCACTTTAGGATCTTGCATACGTTGACAGTAAAGACCAATTTGTTTAATCCCAAATGTTTTGACCTTTTTCACAAGCTTCGCGCACATACCCTGGTTTGTTGACTCCTTGAAATCCGGGTTATGCATTACCAAACAAAGATTTTATCACGGTGTCCTTGGAGAAACATTCTTCTTTTTTTCCACTATTATCCATATTCATCTTTCAATTTAAATTTTTATTTTTTAATGCAAGAATAATAATAATTCAAAAAAGGATATATATATAGATCATCACCAGTTATTCAAAAATTAAATAAGATCAACCAGATCATCATCATCTTTAAACCATACCCAATAGAAAAGCTTCTCTTATATTGTTGTGCCAGATGCAGATAAGTAAATTTCTATTTCTAACTTTCAAGTGAGCTACTTTGTTGATTTTTTAATCCAATTAATAAAGTAACAGGACTTTTTTTCGAAATTTTCCAAGATCTAGATGTCAGGAAAATCTATTTAATTCTGGGCGCACCCTGTTCAATCGTATTTTGAATCTTCTGGAAGTGTAGCTCAATATTTAAATTAGGATTCCTTTGTCTTTGTACAAGAAGCAAGATAGTAATTCAGTTTTATTACGAAATCGATTATCTTTTATTTTTTACATTAGGCAAACAATTATTTTTAGGTAATCACACTTGAATTTCAGCGTTTATACTCGAACGATCATCTAGATTTATTTCATTCATTACCATCAATTGAATTTTTAACAACAATCCAGATAATTTGAATTCAATAGGATTAATTGATAAGTAATGTTGTAGCCAAAGTCGATTGTTAATCATACATAATCTTTAGATGTATCGTATGGCATTGTTTAAACTATTATTAACAAATCTTGAAGACAATAATAATGTGAATTTTGATGTACAAAAAAATTGTGATGTTTATTTCTTTTGAATGTAATATTAATAATAATAAAAAGTATATATATGCAGCATACGGGAATATTTAATCCTAATCTGAAAATCATTCTTTTAACATACGAACTTTTTATTCCTCTAAGTATTATTATCATTATAAAATAATAACAATAAGGTTCATGTTATATGATCGTAAATTGTCAACCTTTCTTGTAAATAAATCCAACGCAAAATCAAATTAAAATTGTATCTTTTCCTATATTATATAGGCCCATGTTTATATTTTTTGGATACCAAATAATTTCATCATATAGCTTATTGTCAAAGAGGTTTAATTTTATCGTAAAAGCCGGTTAATAAAGAAATTTCATCAAACCTAATTAATAGAATGAATGATATTTTTCAATGTGATTTTCAATCACTGCGAAATGACTTTACGTTTTATCCTACAATCTTCAGATCTTTCGTTCCAATTATCGGACAATGCAACGTTAAAGTATAAAGAGACCTTGCTTTAATCAGCCTTAAAAAATTTTTACATCAGCACCCTCTTCCCTGACTTTCATTTCGACATCATAGTGGTAGAATAACAGTGTTTGTAACAGGAGAAAATATTTGTTTCAATGATTTTGGACGATAAAATGTTCCAACCTTCGATAAGAGCACGCTATATTCATCGAATACATATTCTGCATCTTTTCTATCAATAAGTATAACTATAATTATTTTTTTTTTTTGACTTAATGAAAAGAACTACCCGACAATTATTTACTTTTTTCGAGTCAACTATATACTCACAGATCATTCCTTTTAATGACAATTTACGATAATAATAAAAACGATTTAGCGATAAATAACGAAAATCATCTAATGTTAGAAATCATATATCTTTGAAATTGTAATTAAAAGTTATTTAATTTATGCATAATACATACAATCTTATGCATCGGAATATCGTTATAATTGAGAATGCACAAACGGTCTTGGTCTATGGATCAATCAGTTTTCGGATTTTATAACAAATATATAGACCCAAAAGTTACATGTTACTATCTTTCAGGCGACTTTTTCTATTTATTAATGCCGGTCAGTAATTCCATAAGAATAATTCTCAGAGCTCAAGATATGACCTTTTATTATCCAATATTCGAGTAATTTCAGGACGTAATTATAATATGAAAAATTTAAAATGTTTCTCTCTTCTAAAGTTTTTGTGCAAAATGAATTATCATCTTTCAATTGTATCATGTGTTTGCAGCTCCTCAGAAGGAAACTTGGTCGACTTCTTTTAACATAGAAAATCTTTTGTTTCACACAAATCCTAGCCTGAAAATTTTTAATCGGTTCTTCGTGAAACGTGATCTACAACGTGCGTGTAACGCGAATTTTTGCGTAAGTGCGCAGCAAATTATTTCTCATTTATTTATTTATTTATTTTTTCTTGCCCTCCGTCATGCAAATCGGAGATAATGATTTCTTGTTCTTTTGAAGAAAGATTAAACAGTATATACATGTTGGCATTTTTTTTATCAGAAATAAATTTTTGTTAACAAATTAACAAGTTGATTGCTTTATCATTAATTGCATCTGGTAGATAATTGATTAATATTAAAAAAATTTTATAGCCAGAAAATAAAATATATAGCTACAGAAAAAATTAAAAAATGTTTTCAATTCATAATAATACGAATTTTTTTTTAATGACAAAAATTACATTCGCAACATGAAATTACATCAGTGTTAATAAATCTTTTTATGATACAATGTTTCCGTGTTGGTTGTTCTGCAAGCTCAAATCTTTCAGGATTAAAAATAACGAACGGTTAGTGATCGACTATTATTAATTATTATTATTATTATTATATCCGATAGTGTGTTATCAAGGTTATCAATGTGCCAACTGTTCTTTGATTGCCCCTTTTAGGTTTTTTAATGAATATTAATTTTTATTTTTTTCCTACGTACCAAATTTATTCACCCAAATATAAATCACTATATTTAGATGATTTCGTTTAATACAAATAAAAGATGACGAAATAATAATTTAAGCATAACGAATTGATTGTTCAAAGATTTAATTTTGTCAGATAAAGGTAATTTTCTTGCAGTGTGTTACACTTTCTATTATCACCAAAACCTAATCTTTCCCTCATCAAGAAAAATTACAAATTATTTCTAAAAAACAATTAATTAGTTTTTACTAATACTAACTAATAAAGAAAAAATCAATAACGTTTTTGTTTGTGAAATGTTTTCTCTATATTATAATTGTTCTTTCTCGGCCGGAATAGCTCGGAAAATTAAAGATGTGTTGGGCTAAGCAATTTATACAACGTTACCACAAAGAAAATCAGGAAAATAAACTCGTTAAAAATTTGTGTTACCCATGCTTAATCAATCAATAAATCAAACAATAATTAATATCTTCTCACAATTTAGATTATCTCTCACACAATCAAATTTCTAGGCGTACTATTTATTTATTATAAAAGATGATGGCCCCACCTTCTCTAACCCTCTCACACACATTTCTTTTCTCTTTTCTCTTTAATTCAATTATCAAAAAAAAAAATTTTTTTTGTATAAATATATTATATTATATTTTGTAGATAGTTTTTTTAACGACAAATTATTATTATTTATCATATAAATTATAATTAACAAAATGCCTTTCCTCCCACTTCTCATAAAAATTTCAAATTTGCTGGTTTATGCTTTTCTTTTAACTACCAACTTATTAACATTAATATACTCTGGTCTTGAGGTAATTTTTTAATGAAATACTTATTATTTATATTAAATAAGAAAATTTCGATTTATTAATTTATTAATTAATCTATATAGGGTCATGACACTTACATCACACCACATCCATGTGTCTTTTTGATTTGGGCAGTCATTATCTTCTTATTAGGGGGTCTAGGTAAATATCTTTTTTTCCAAAGAATTTTCATCGTCAAAGAAAAACAAAGAATTTCTAATTGTTAATTAATAATTATTAATTATTATTATTATTGCTGTTGTTATTGTTATAGTTATTTATCAATTCTTCAACGCTGCCTCGGAAACCGTCGTGGATGGAATACATTTTCACTTTGTTAGCATCTCTCTATTCAGTGCTTTATGGGTTTATTTATGGGTATGTGAAATCTATTATAAAATCAATAAATTTCATGATTAACATGTTTGATTGATTAATTAATATTCCTACTTCTTCACATATACTTCTTCACATATGCAAATATAGCAAACCGATCATCTCATACTTGCATTGATCACTATTTTTATTATTTCTACCCAAATTTCATATGTCTACTACAGACTTCATAACAAATTCCCTGCTCAAGGAATTAACGATACTCTCTGGATACATGCACCATTCTCCTTATATCATGCTTGGATTACATTCCTCTTTATGCTTAGTTTATTTGCTGCCTTTACACCGGAAAAAACTGACGACGATGACGACAAACAACCAAAAGTTTATTTAAAGGTTTTGGTATTCTTTGCTTTACTCACACTTCAAATAATTGCCAGCAATTACATTGAAAAATTCAAAGGTGATGTCGCTGGTGCACTTGTCATCGCTGGGGCTTTATACGGTATCTTTGCTGCTCAAGATGATCCCTTCATCCATTGGACATCTCTTTTCTTTGCTATTTGTACCTCAATCCACATTGTCAAACCATTTGTCAAAAAGTACTTCTTTCATTCGTCGGCAGAACATGCTCCATTATTAGGTTAAGGAATCGGTTTATCATTTATTATAAGAAAAGTTTTATACTTTTATATTTTATTTAAAAAATTGTATTTTTTTTTTTAATCAATGGTTTTTATTATTATTCATTATCACTATTGTCACAATTATTATTCTCTTATTTGATTGATTAATAAAAAAATTTATATATAATATATAATTAATTTTTGCATAATTATTTGGACCAATCATATTCTTGATTCATTCATGGATGAATTGCTCACATGATGTTTGTTACGTAAATTTATTTGAATCAAAAATCCCTTTTTTATAACACGTAACGAATACGCATAATTTGTACCACATAAAATTTTATAAATAAGCCAGCTGTCTGATTATCATAGATTTTTTAATTCTGTTGAGGAAATTTAGATTATTTTTTTTTTTTTACAACACATACCAGAAAGTGAGTGTGCGCAATAAAAAAAAAAAATAACAGCAGCAGAAATTTCAAGATTTTAAACAATTTTATTACTCGATAATAAGCAATAAGAATAGTTAATTATAACTGTTATAATTATAATTTTTTATAACTACCAATAGATAAAAAAATGAGCGAAAAAGAAACATTTAAATATTTGGAAAGTGGTGGAGATGTATTACAAAGTGTAGATTTGGTAAATTTCTTTTTTTGGCGATCGTCATGTTTGTAAAATAAAAATAAAAAATATTTTATTTATATAAATTTATAAAAATTATATATATAGAATTACGAGATTTTTATACCGTATATATTAAAACATTATCCTGTTGAGCGAGTAACTTTTTTAAGAAGATATTTACAGGTAAAAAAAATTGTATTTATTAATAAATTTAAATGTAAATCAATAATCAATTATTATTTTACATATACAGTTTGACCTGGTAAAAGATATATTAGCATTACCTAGAGACGAGATAATCAATAGTGTTAGGACATCACAAACGAATTCACAGGTCACAAATGTAAGTATAATTATATAACATTTTAAATTAATAATCATTATCATAATTATAACAATAATCATTATAACAATAATAATTATTATTATTAGGCGCTAACTATTAGGCGTCCAAGTCAACCTTGTAATTTCATGCCAAACAATCATGAATCAACTTTAAAGTAGTTATTTTTGTCATTGTTAAGATTATTATTATGTAAAATTTATTTCGTTATAAATTTTTCTAATCATTTTTTTTATGGGTAGATTGGTGTTACAAGATCTACATAATTTGATAAAAGAAGCCAATGCAGTTTACGAACAAAATCCCTTAAGAATACAAAGCTTATGTGATTCAATTTTTTCGGATAATCTTTATCGCAATTTACGAAGAACTGATCTTTTGAAAAACTTGAAATATTTTCTCCCGATAATATTATATATATGGAAGCCAAATGAATTAAATATCGATTACGAGGTAAATAGGAAATTATATATATATTACTATGACCATCAATTTTTAATAAATGCTAACGTCATCATCATTATTTCCAGAATGTAATCAGGGCTTTGATACTTGTAGAAACAGGAAAAGATTTTATAATACCTTTGGTAGCAAATAGTCCACAAATGTTTCACGAGGTTCGAATATCATCATCATCATCATCATCATCATGTATTTGATTTTTTAAACAAAAAACCAATTTACTAAATATATATTATTAACATTTGATCTGGAATTTACAGTTTACAGATATTCTTTTGAAACTTCATAAATACCTTCCGCAAAAATTAAAATCTCGTATTAGGTAAAAGCTTTTTTAATTGTTTTGCTTAAATTAGAAGAGAAAGTGGTAATAATAAAAATATTATTATTGATATTATTAATTAATTGATTTGTTTTTTTTTTAAAGGGATATGATACATAATATGTGTTTACTTACTGATGAACTTGCAATTGTAGTCCGTATGAAGTTAACCGATCTAAAAATATTTCCAGATCTTGCCTTAAAATTGACATTAGACCAAGGAGGTGATGTTGTAAGTTTATTTTTATTTTTATTTACTTTTTAATCAAGTCAATTAATATATGTGTGTGCGCGCGCACGCGTTATGGTGTCTTCACATGAGCTAGTTTTAGGATAGGATTAGTGAAAATCAACTAATTTAGAAATTTATTGTTCAAATTTAGATTAATTTTCTTTAATCCAAATCCAAAAATTAGTGTATGTGAAGTCATCTTATATATTATGCAGATATATTATATATTATTATTGGTATTTTATTTAATAAATAATATTTCTCCTTCCTTTTAAGCCATTATATTTGAATGGTATTTTATGTAGAAACCCCAAATGGCTTCTTACAAATGAAGTTCAGTATGAGACGATAATGACAATAAAACAAAGATTATTGATTGTTGTGAGAAAATTACTTGTAAGCAAATATATATATATATATATTCTATTATATCTATTTAAAAAATTATTTACCCATTATTATTGTTATTGCTAGAATGATAAAACCACACCACATTCAAGTCATCGAACAAGATTTTGTATTGTAATGAGATGTTTATGTGGCCTTGTTTGTATATTCAAAGTGAGTTTTGATCATAATGAATTAATAGATTGTCTTAATGTGCTGAGTTATGCTGATTCTGATAGGTTTGTATTTATTTATTTATTCATTGATCAATTGATTTTTGTCATCGGTATTATGATGAATATTAATTACATTCATTTCTGTTATATATCTATCTTTTAAAAGACTCAGGAAAATATGTTTATGTTTTATATTATTGTGTTCTGATATGATATTGGGATTTTTTGATGCGGTAATTTCCTATATTGTTGCATTGTTATATTGTTATTAATATGTTGTTTGCTAATTCTTTTCTTTACAAATTTTAGAGTTATCTTGCAAATGAATTTACTAAAATAGTGAATATACATAATAAACAATTATTTTTAATATTTGCCTATTATTTTAAAACAAGTCAACTTGAAAAAATCAAACTCATATGTAGTTCAACATTAGCATTGGATGTTGTAATTTGTATCCTTTTTATATATTATTTTTAATTTATAATTGTAATTATCACATATAAAAATTATTTTTATCTTTAACATAATTAGCTGGTAAAGGATTAGAAGAATTACAAAAGGAAATGAGGGGCTATTTTATAGATAGTAAATTGGCGAGAATTGCATTAGAAATTGAGCCGGATACTTTTGATGGATTAGGGGTATATAACAGTAACATTTTGATTTTGATCTTTATTAATATTGAAAAAAAATAATATTTACAAATTTAAGTAATCATACTTTATATATAGTTATCAAAGGATTCCCAATATATTTCTTTTAAATGCTTTTATACAATGATTAAAGGTAGCGTTTTTCAGATAGGTAAAGTTGATATACAACCATGGATATACAACCAAATAATGCAGGCTACTACTCCTATCCATTTTCAATTGGGTCCATTAATAAAAGCTTATGCACAAAGGTAAAAAGAATTAAGGAAAATAAGGAAAATGTTTTTGGTATTTTTTTATTAAACATTCTCAATTTTTTTTTGGTTTCTATATGTGCGTGCATGTGTGTAGTATATTTGAGGGATATTTGGGAGAACCGTCACCAATAACGAAAATACCTGAAAATAAAATTTTTGGATTTTTTCAAGATAATCTTATTGAAATCACCGCAGCTCATGTGTTATTGTTTTATTTTGTATTAGCATATAATAAAGTTGTAAAAGACATGAAAATATCATGCGGACAACAATCTATTACTATTGATCCTCAAAAGTCAGGTAAAAAAATATATTATTAATTAGACGTATGTGTGTGTGTTTTATGTAAAATATATTCACACACACTCCAATCGCATGTTTGTATGTAGCATATACACCTCGATTAACGGAGGCAATACCTGTAAGAAGAATTTTATTTTTGACAGAAAGATGTGATAATGGAGTAGCATATCGTAATATTTATCCAGACTTATTAGTATATATTACTAACTATTATCCAGAAATATTTGATATTGAAAGTCTTTTAATGGATGAAGATCGTATATTAAGGTACATATATATTTATATATGTGTGTGTGTCACATTTTATTTTATAAATATATGATTATATTAGCATATTTTTTTTATACAAAAAAAGAATTGTGAAAGGTCGTCGTCATGAAAGTGAAGTTTATGAATTATTGGAAATTGCTGTTTTAAATTTTCATAACACTGTTGAAAAAACTGTATCAGGTGACTAATAATAATAATAATAATAATAATAATAATAATAATAATAATAATAATAATAATAATTGATAAATTATATAAATTATAATTATAATTAATTTGTTTTTCAAAATTTTCAAAAGCCTTAAAATGTTTAGAAACAATTCCACCTGAGGATCTGTATTCAATATCAGAACCATTCTTATTATATTTTCTTCCTAAAGCACTTGAATCAAAGTAAATATTATTAATGTCTCTATCGTCATATTACACAAATTCATTTATATAATGTACTAATTAATGATCCAATTATTTTTTTATTTTTAAAAAATAAAAAAGTGTAGATGTTCGTATTTTAGAATCAATTCAACAAATTTGGCTATCACTCTATAGTATAAATCCTCACGAAATTACTTTATTATTTATTAATGCTACACGTGGTGAAGATGATCAAAACATTAGGTTAGTTGCAATAATAATAAACGGTAATAATAATAATAACAATTTTAATAGTAATGATGATGATGATCATGATGATCATTTATTAGATATATGGAGAGAGATATTATGTTGGATCCATCGATTGTTTTTCGTTGTAATATTAAAATTTTCAGGTGTCCTCTAATATTTAAAATTTTTTTAAGGGTAATTATCAATAAATTTATATATAAAATTTTCATGCAGGACAAACTAATTATTTAAAAATTTTATCTTTATTTATTTATGGGGGAAAAGACACTACGGTTTTATACGGTTGGGTCACGCAATCGATTGAAACGACTAAATGAGGAAGAACTTAATCGTGGAAAGGTAAATAATAACAATCAACAAATCAATCAATCAATCAATCAATCAATCAATCAACCATTAAATTAATTAATCAATAAATCAATGATATTTACTGATTAATTTAATTTAGGATGCACATTCAACACAAAAATTGGAATATTTAATTAATATTCAAGAGACCATGTATTTAAACATGTTATTAGAGATATGTATAAGAAATAAGAATGAAGATGATAAAAACAGTACGCGTAGAATTGTGTTAATATTGTTGAGTTTTTTATATAAACTTAAAATAAATTATTTAAAATTTATTATTATTGTTATTCTTATTTGTAGAAGGCGCATTAGAGGAAATTCGTGTATTGACATTTGGATTTTTACATCAAATATTTATTGAAAATCCAGAATTGTTAAAAAGTTTACACTTTGCGGGATATTCTATTGACTTACTTCCTTTGACCACAAGTAGAATTGAATCAATGCGTATGTATACATATACATATACATATATATTACTATCTATATAATATATATATTAACATTAAGATTATTTATAGATTTATGTATATTTTGGGTTAATGAATTGATATTAAACGAAGATCCTCAAAAACAATTATTTGGATTGAATTTAGCAGGACAATTATGTGAAGTTTGGCCAATGACCAAAACGTAATTATTATAGAGTATATGCATCTTATCATTGTCTTTATCTTCATCATTATACTTAATTTGCATTTATCATATTAACTCGATTAGATATGAAATAGCAAAAGATTCTATGTTACCAACGATCAAACGAATAGTTTTAGAATTGAGGGAGGATACATTAAGTAAAGAAGCAATGCAAATATTACCTTTAACAGTTTTGATATATAATAAATTTCAAAATTTACAAAAAGAAGTTATTAATCTATTAAGAGGTATGTATATATTATATCAACATTAGCACATTGTCGTGTAATTCATTACTTATGATTAAAAAATTTTTTTCGAAAATAGATTTAGAAAATAATTTTCGTTCACGTAATAACAATTGTTCATTAACATTTGGAATAAAAAGAAGTTCACAAATATTTATAGCAAATTTATTACAACAAATTAACGAAAGACCAAGGCTTAGTCATAACAACAACAACAATATTTATTATGTCAATCCTATTTCTATTCCCAATCCTAATCTTATTCATAATCATCATAATTATAACCACAATAATAATAATCATAATCATAATAATCATAATCATAATCATAATATTATCAATAATAATAAGAAAAAACGAAAAACTGATAATGTCAATAACACTAACAGCATTAGATAGAGAGAGCGTAGTAATTTTTTTTGTATAAACATAAACAATATAAATAAAATAATAAAAAATATATAAATATATAAATTATAAAATGTATATAAATAATAAAAAAATTTGGTAGAAGATAATCAAAAACAAAAATTTTTTTCACATCTACAAAGTTTTAGAAAATCGATCGATATGTTAAAAATTGAATAAAATAAAAACTTGAAATGTTAGATGGTTTAGATGTTTTAGATATAATTTTTTAACAAGACACTAAAAAATCAACTAGACAATTTTAGATACATTAATTTATATATAGTAAATAATACTGTAAATATGTAAATTATTAATTAGTATATTATAATTTGTTATGTAAATAAATGGAATTACGGAAGAAAAGTACCATTGAATCAAATTTAGCAATTTTGAATTAAATAAAACACAACAATGTGCTATTGTAAACTTTATACAAATTGGTTAATTCCGTGGTTATGTATGCATAATCACGTGTATATTAAATTTGGTCTTATATGTTGTTTATTAGAAAGAGAGAAGCAATTTTGAAAAAAGAAATTTATTTTAAAAACGTCTTATGCTTTGTACACACAAGTAAGATTATCTGCAATATCTATATATATTAAAAAAATCATAACGTCAAAGTATCTGCTCGCTGAACTTTTCAATCAGTCAAATCAATCAATCAATCAATTTAAAGATCTTCGAGTTTCATGCAATATGTGTGTGTGTGTGCATTAAAAGGAATTATGATAAATAGTAACTGCTGAAACTGTTTCTTTTTTATACAGTTTAACTAAATATTTACGTGTCAAAAAAATATTAGATATTATTTGTGAATTTTCCCCCAAACGGCTAATAAATAATAAGTCGCCTTCATTCTAGATAAGGTTAAATCCAAAAAAAAACAAAGAAATACAATATTAATGATGTTCATAATATGTTTGATTGTTGGTTATAAAGTTTGTTGAATCTCTCTATCTCTTTTCTTTCTCCTTCATTTTGTTTCTTTGACATGTAGAGTTAGATGATTTTATGTGATAATTGATTGGAGAATCGTGATAATTCAGAAAATCGTTGATTAGTTACTCAATTATTATTATATAATAACGTGTTAACCCAAATAAGTAAATTCCAAAAAACTGTTCTTATTATTAAAAAAAAAAAATATGAATTGGAATATATTTGGAAATTCACAATAGTAATCAGTGCTGGATATAATAAATTTGGGATTTTCACTTGTACATTAACAGATAACGTTTCCTAGCGATCTTTTTTATTATTAAAACAACCTTTTTATTTTACTGTTAATAAATATATCAAAATATTATATATATAAAGGTCATGAAAGCGAAAATGGCATAGCAATAATAATAATAATTATTATAATATATGAAATAATAAATAATAAAGTTTTAAGTTTTTGAATTTGTCAATGTAAAATTAAAAAAAATTTATTTTATTTAATTAATACTTTTTCAATATTTTTTTGTAACAGTAAATATTTCGATTTAAGTATTAATTAAAAAAAAAAAATTTCCAAAAATGAATAACATAATTAAAAAGCTTAAAAAAGTTAAAAAAATAATATTTATTATGATGGCGGGAAAACAATTCTATTTTTACTACACAAAACATTTTAATTAATAAATTCCGCCGTGAATTTTCAAATTAAAATTAAACTTTTTCAAAAACATCATCATATATATTTAAATATGCTGTACAAAAATCCTAAAACATTTCACCACCAACTTTTAACCTTGAATGATTGTTTCTTAAAATCTATCGACGGATAGATCTTCATAACATGTTTTTATGTGATAAAATTATATTCTTGTTTAATATCTTGTTATATATTTTATTTATTTGTTTGTATATTAAGTAACAAAGAAACAAAAAAAATATTTCTTTGAGGTTCAAAGCGTACATACGTTTCACCACAATTTCAATTTCGCCATTATTAGTGTTGAAATATGATGATGACGAATATCTCGGTTGAAATTAAATAAAGATTTATAATACTTGTGAGAGACTGGTTAAAAAATATCATCATATAAATCTAGTTTAAACAACTTTTATTTTCTTTATTGTTTTGTTCATTCATTAATTAATTTCTCTCTCCCTTACATTATCTTAACGTTATTGTTACATTTGTTACATTTTATAGTATCATCACATAATCTTACCTTTTTCATCATTAATTAATTATTGACCATCAATTTCAATGCAATTACACCATCCAACTAACTCATCGACAACCTTCTCAACATTAATTAAAGAAGAATTAGAATCAACTCAAAAAAAGAAAATCTTGATTTTATCATCACACGTGTGCTATTCGTTTTCCCTTGCTTTTTCCTCTTATGGTGATGAATTCTTGATTTGTTTATTATGGCTTATTGGCAAATTAATCAAATTCAAACAAATTTGCCAATTTACTTTTTTCATCTAAAGAAGGGAATTTTTTTTTGAACACGCGTTTTAAATTATTTAGTGGGGTAGCATTTCCCAATTTTTAACAGTTTTCTTCCTCTTCCTCCTCCTCTTCCTTCTTCTTCTTAGTTTACTTCCAACTATATATGCACTGTTTAAACTATTATCCAATTATTTTATTATTATCATTATTATCATTATTATCATTTTTATCATAACATTAACAAAACCCCAAACCCTTTTTTCCTCCATAAAAATATATGAATTTGTACAACTCGAAAATATTAGCCAACATTTTCAGCCTACATATTTTTAAAAAAAAAAAATATAAATTTTTTATCATGATCGATTGATGGTTAATTTTTTTTTGATAAAATTAAACTGGTTTTATTATTGTTTATTATTGTTATTATTATTATGTGCATACACGTATAATTAATTAATAAAATAAAATTGTTATGTGATAAAATCGGATTATTTTCAATCATAATCAATCTATTTTTTTACGTTTTGATATAAATACGCTTGATACTAATTTCAATATTTTTTTCTCTTGCAAACCGAAAAGCGTTTTATTTTCGGAACTTTTTGTTTATTTATACATACTATTTATTTATTAATTGAAATTTCATATTATATAATAAATAAATTATTATATATCATATAAAATCTATTTGTCTACTGTAAATAATAACAAGATAAATGGCTCTTCCATTAGCTTCTATCGGGGAATTTTACATTAAATCTAGCGCATCTCCCTCCGGTAATGCAACTTTGCTTGCCCCTGCCGCTCAAAATTTAGTCGTTGACGTAGAACACGGTGGTTTCTTTGGAGGCTGGAGTACTGCTAAAGAAGGAACAAAAGCAATCCTCGCTACTCAAAAAAGCGACAAAGAACACGACGCTTATCAATTATGGAAATACGACGATGGTTGGATTATTCACAAACAAAGCTCTTTATGTTTAGAAGTTGAAAATGGTAATTGATGATTTAGATAAATAGATCGTGATATATTGTGAATGCGAGATTTTAGTACCGCGTAAAAAAAATTTGACCAACTCGACTGAATAAATAACTGGTCAATTGAGGCTATTTTTTTATTCTCGAGTTTTATGATTTTTTTTTAACATTCACTGACGATCATAAAATTAATCTTGAATCGAATTTTTTGATCTTCATAAAATGCCGACCTACCTACTCACTACAAAATCTGCTATGATATAATTTAAATAAATAGGTAAATCTGGTAACCGTCTGTTACTTCATTCCAGAAAAAGTCCAAATCAAGCTAACAATCAAAGATGGGTCTTTACCAACGAGGGTCACATTGCTTTGCAAAATAATCCTAAATTAGTATTGGAAATAAAAAGCTCATCTGCGAAAGATAATGCACCAATTATTTTGAGCGATAGTAAATCAAAATCTTTCAAACCTGCTTTATCCAAATGGGTTGTACTTCCTACCCAAAAGATAAGAGCTCAAGGTATATTTTATTCATTTTATTTTATAATTTATAATTGACATTGATCTTATTGTTTTACAACAATTTAATCGTTTTATATATATATATATATATATTTATATTTATAGGCAAAAAAATTGGTGTTATTAGATTGGAATTGTTAAGTGCTAAAGGCTTGAAAAGTGTTGACGGTTTCTTTTCTGGTAAATCAATCAATTTATTATTTATTTAGTTTAATAATAATTTATTATCTTTAGCAAATGATTTTTCTAACCAGTTTATTAATATATTATATATTTTACACATGTGTATTATTAGGCAAATCTGATCCATATGTTAGAGTTTTCCATCAAAGTAATACCAAAGAGCCTTTGTTAGCAACTCGCGTTATTGATAACGAGTTGAATCCTGTTTGGAATGAAGTTCATTACTTACCTGTAAATCATATCGGAGAAAAATTCATCCTTGAAGTAATGGATCACAATACTATAACTAAACACGTAACGCTTGGTCAAGTTAATTTTGAAATTACAAGAGAACTTGTTAAAGAAGTTGGTGAAAATACCTATGAACCTAATCCAAATGGAATAGATGTGTAAGTGTTATCATTTACTTTATTTTATTTACAATTAAAACAATTAACAATTAAAAATTAATAATAAATTTATTATTTACATAAATAAAATTTATAGATGGGTTAGACTCTCAACTCAAGGCCAAATTCATTATAAAGCTAAATTCTTTTCATTAGCCGCTCCTCGAAAATTATCTCCAGATTTTCTTGCAAATCTTAAAGAAAAACCTTTTGATTCTTCCACACTTTTTAATGTTATCACATTACAATCATCGGATGGTAGCTTTTCTAGCTCACCCCTTTTGGCAAACTTATTTGGTTATGAAAAATCAGAAGAACTTATGACTTTATTCAATAAACATATCAAAAATGAAAGATTATCGAAAGTTAAGGAGTCTGTTTGTATAACTAGTATGGTCATGTGGTTCTTAATATATTTATTCAAAGATCTCCGTAAAGAATGGAACAGTACTTATTTACGTGCTGAACAATACATCATTAAAGAAGCCAATAGTTATGAATTGGAAGAACTTATAGTTTCAACTGGTAAATGTGCTATCCGTGAGCGTTTTGACATTAAAGTATCAGAGGAAATAGGTAAATTGAAATTTTATTATTTATTTTATTCTAGTGATTTTTTTAATCGTTCATTTTCAATCTTTTAATTGATGTATTATTAATTTAATAATAATAATAATAATAATAATAATAACAACAACAATAACAACAACAATAACAACAATAAAGGCTTCAGACATAAAAAAATCACATTTACTCAAACAGAAATCACGGTTACTCGTGTACAAACCATAATAAAATATCAAAACAGCAATGGTTCATTCAAAATCGATGATAATGTTGCAAAATTACTTGGTTTTGAATCTATCGAGAAGCTTACTTTAATTCTTACACAACATATAAAGTCACATTCTTCTAATAGTACAACAATATCTAAATTAGAAATCAATGTTTGGATTACTATCCTTGTAATTTATTACTTACGTCTTATTTGTATCGAACACAAAAAAACATGGATTTCTCAACATGAAAAAGCTTATGTTTGGTTATGGAGCATATTTTTAAGCGACGAAGTTGAAAGTGAAACCTTTTCAACAATTAAATCATTTGTGAAGGAAGTATACGACATACAAAGTGAGACCTTGGCATCGGATAGTAAATTCGAGACTGAATTTGCTGCCAAAAAAACCACTTTAAGATCATCTATTAGTAAAAGCTCACAACATGAGATTGAAGAACACCAAACAATTACTTGTATGTATTAATTACGTTTTTTTTACATTTATTTATTTATTCATTAATTCTTAAAAAAAGTTTAAAAACTCATTTACACATCACACGTATATATATTTAGCTTCGCCAAAAACTAAAATATACACCCGAAAAACTGTTACTATCATTATTGTACGTCGCTTCCTCGGTTATCAAACAAGTAGTGGTTGTTATGAACTTAGTAATCAATTATCTCAATCACTTGGATTTTCTTCAAGTGAAGAAGCAAAAACTCAATTGTTAAAACATTTCTCCTCATTTTCTCGATCTTCCAGACTTGATGTTAATATTTGGAGCACTGCCATTATGATTTGGTATCTTCGTTATGTCTTGATAGATTTCAGATATGAATGGATTGAATATTACAATAACTCTTTGAAATGGCTATGTAGTGCTGTGAAAGATAAAGAAACTGAAGAGGAGGTTCTTGAGGCTGCCAGAGTATTTGTCAAGAAAAGATTTGAAGTTGAAGAATCTACAATACAAGAAGCCAGCAGCAGCATTTTTGTAAAACATGAAACTATCACAGTCGAAACCACAAAAACCATCACCTCTAAACAAAATAAAGACGGCTCTTTCCACATTTCAGATACACTTTCTGGAATTCTTGACATTTCCTCAGATACAAAATCTCAATCATTCACATCTACTATCCAAACTTATGCTGTCAGCGAACGTCTCAAGAAAACTACTACACATTATACTTGGTGGACAACTGCAATTACTATCACTTATCTAAGGTTACATGCTTCTTCTCATGAAACAATCTGGAAAATTCATTATGAAAATGCCAGAAAATATTTAAGTGAACAAATCAAAGACACAGAACTTGAAGAAGAACTTTTGAAAACTTGCTTTAAACTTGTTGAAGAAAAAACAACCAAAAAAGTAACCACTAGTACTACTAAAGTTACTGGAGCAACATCAACCATCGGATCAACAATTAGCAGCATTTTTGGAAGACATGATACTAAATCAGTTGAAACCACAAAAACCATCATCTCTAAACAAACCAGTGAAGGCTCATTCCACATTTCCGACACACTTTCTGAAATTCTCGAAATTTCTTCTGACACAAAATCCCAATCATTCACATCTACCATTCAAACATACGCTGTCAGCGAACGTCTCAAGAAAACCACTACACATTATACTTGGTGGACAACTGCAATTACCATCAGTTATCTTAAAATACATGCTTCCTCACATGAAACAACATGGAAAGTTCATTATGAAAAGGCCAGAAAATATCTAAGTGAACAAATCAAAGACGTTGAACTTGAAGAGGAACTTTTGAAAACTTGTTCCAAACTTGTTGAAGAAAAAACAACAAAAAAAGTTACTACGTCAACCATTGGATCAACATTTAGTGGCTTCTTTGGAAAACATGATACTAAATCAGTTGAAACCACAAAAACCATCATCTCTAAACAAACTAGTGAAGGCTCATTCCATTTTTCTGACACGCTTTCTGAAATTCTTGAAATTTCTTCAGATACGAAATCATTCACATCTACCATTCAAACATATGTTGTCAGCGAACGTCTCAAGAAAACTACTACGCATTATACTTGGTGGACAACTGCAATTACTATCAGTTATCTAAGGTTACATGCTTCTTCTCATGAAACAACATGGAAAGTTCAATGTGAAAAGGCCAGAAAGTATTTAAGTGAACAAATCAAAGACGTTGAACTCGAAGAAGAACTTTTGAAAACTTGTACTAAAATTGTTGAAGAAAAAACGACCAAAAAAGTTACCACTACAACACAATCCCATGATAAAAAAGAAGAGGGTATTACTAGTGGAGTAACATCAGCTATTGGATCAACATTTAGTGGATTCTTTGGAAGACATGACACTAAATCAGTCGAAACCACAAAAACCATCATTTCCAAACAAACCAGTGAAGGCTCATTCCACATTTCAGATACACTTTCTGAAATTCTTGACATATCCTCAGATACAAAATCTCAATCATTCACCTCTACCATTCAAACATACGCTGTTAGTGAACGTCTCAAGAAAACTACTACACATTACACCTGGTGGACAACTGCAATTACTATTAGTTATCTAAGGTTACATGCTTCTTCTCATGAAACAACTTGGAAAGTTCAATGTGAAAAGGCCAGAAAGTATTTAAGTGAACAAATCAAAGACGTTGAACTTGAAGAAGAACTTTTGAAAACTTGTACTAAAATTGTTGAAGAAAAAACGACCAAAAAAGTTACCACTACAAGTAGCTCCAATGTAACACAATCCCATGATAAAAAAGAAGAGGGTATTACTAGTGGAGTAACATCAGCTATTGGATCAACATTTAGTGGAT